AATATTCTTTATTATTTATTATAGCTGATATACCTATGTTTCAGTCAATAGTAACTGAACATATTAACGTTTCCCTCTGCATAATACTTCTCTGTAGAGTATAGCTTCTTCAGATCGGGTTGAGTATATCTTCCTCAGAGAGTATATCAACAGCGCCATCTCTACGCCAACAGCTTTATCTTTCGCTCTTTTTTTTTGCGTCTTGTTTTCAGTTTCAACAATATTCAAATTGAGTTTTCCAGTGCAGGCAACGACTGTAGTCATCCATCGTCAAAGTTTCTTTTTGTTCCTGTTGTCATTGTTGTTGTTGTTGTTGTTGTTGTTGCCTGTATTTGTTAGTTGATAAAAGGCCAAGCCATTATATGCATGGCCAAGCTGCACAATTTCAAGTGCCGCCTCTGTCCAGGTTCCAAGTCGAAGGCAAAGTCGAAGGTGGTAGATGGGGCCAGGGGCTGGGGGGAGGGCTGTTCACAACAAATTTCGTATGCATACGGCTGCTATGGCTACCGCCTGATGCGGGGTTTGGGCTTGTTCTTGGGTCGAACTTCAACTCCAACTACGACCCGGTCTTTCCTTTCAATTCAAAGTAGCTCAGCTCAGCTCGGCTCAGCCCAGCTCGAACTCTGCTCGAATCTCTTTTTCTTTCAAATTGGAAACGCGCGTTCACTGTCCTTCAAAGAATTTCTTTTCTTCTTCAATTTTGCTGTTGTTGTTTTTGTTTTGTTTCTTGTTTTTTTTTTTTTTTTTTTTTTTTCTTTACACATACTACAAAATTTCGTTGTCTCATGTCGCCTGGGCTTGTCAACCTGCACCTTCCACAGCATCTCAACCCCATTGCAAGTGCAATGAACTGCTGCGCGCTCACAGGCTGGCGGCGTTGATTTATGTTACATCTTCTATGATGACATTGGTCCAAGAGTTTCCCCACTCATTGCCTCTCTGCCTTTCAATCCAGTGCAGTCGCTTGTAACCATAAGCGCAGCTCATATGTTACGAACAGAGAGAGAGAGAGTGATAGGGGAGAGAGGGGAGTGGCGCGCACACACGCACATGTGAAAATGATTTATTAGCGGTAATTGGTGTCACAATGTTCCAAAGAAACTGAAAAGGATTGCCAGCCATATCCCATTGCCCATGGCCATGACCAGCTTCTTCAGCTACAGCTACAGCTACAGCTACGGCTACAGCATCCCGCATTCCCACTTGGCTGCCTCCCCCACTCCACTCGCTGCGTTGTTTTAATTATCTTGATTTTAAACTTATTAAAATTGACAAATGATATTCGTAGACAACATCGCGCTGCTCTCTTGCAGGAAACAGGTTGTCAATGGCTGTTTCCTAGAACTCTCTGACTCTTGATAAATCACATTGAGCTATATGACATTGGGGACCATCATCATCTCAACTGTTCTGTATTCTGTGGGGCATTTTCCAAGAGCATTGGTCAGTGGAATTCATTGTGCTGTCATCTGCCTAGGATGATGGAACACACCTTGTGCATCGAGCTGCTGTGGCTCTTGCCCTGTCTCATAGCGGTTTCAGATAATCAAATGCAAGATTAGAATCGGGTATTCCAAGCTATTCAGTTACAGATAGATCGTTATCTAACTTATTCTTTAAATTTCTTCAAATTCGTTTCAAGGAACGGCTCCACTAGAAGGAAAGAATGATTTCTTCTAAATAAAATGTTAATAAAAATAAAAATTATATATTAAGTTAACTTCTGTTTCCATTCTAGTGCCTAATTATGCCCCATCGTTCACTCTCACTTTGCATTCAAATTGCTTTCATAATTTATCTAATTAGAAACACTTTCATACTTTTTCTGCCCAACACCGAAATATTTAATGCCGCATACAAAAATACAAACAACAAACATTTATTAAACATTTATAAAAGACCTCAGAGCAGTCCAGGAGTGCATGTTTTGCATAGGGACAACTCCCTTTTTAGTGGCCGCCCATGACGGCCTTGTGCTCCTTGAGGCACATGAAGATCTTGAAAGCGGTGTCGCAATCGTTGGCGCCCTTCATGTCCTTGCAGGCGTTCACGCCGGATGTGATTTCGCCCATTTTGTCCTTCATTTGCGGCACATTCTTCAAGGTGTTCAGCAGGGCCTCCGCATTGAATTGGCCATTGACCAGGTGACCCTGTTTCTCCATCAGGCACTTGGAATAGCATTTGAGATTCTCATTGGCATTGCCGTTCATGCCGCTGCCCATGAACTCCTTCAGCTCGGCCTCCGTTAGCTTCGTCTCATCCATGCACTGTTTCATTAGCTGCTGGAAGTTCGGATTGCACTGCAAACAGAAAACAGCAAACAGCAGAAATCACATGAAAGCTTCAACTGAACTCTGTTTGCCAGCTGGAATTACCTGGACAGCCGATATAGCGATGACTAGTAGAGTTGCTGCACACAGGATTGCCTTCATTTTGATCGAATGTGTTGCTCTAGCTGCGACGGTTCTGGATAAACTGACGGAACTCGGCTCTGCTTTTATAGGGCCCCATGAACAACAACTGAGCGCAATTAAGGCAATTAGAGTTTTTGCAACTAGTTCGCAATTTAATTACGCACAATGCATCACTTATGTCATAATCGAATTTAGCCATCAAACACCCTGTTGTTCGACATGTTAAGAGGTATATCCATTGCACAGGTCTTACACTGTATTATATATTCATATATTATTTATTTATATATTGTTTTCTTTACTATTTAATTTGGGTTTGTTTTTCTTATAATCCAAACTTTCTTTTAATAAT